TGCTGTCAGAAATGTTATTACCAGCAGGAAAGAGAGGAAGGCCGGGGGAGGACAGTACAGGGAGCATATGAATGTGTCCTAGGCTTCAGATTCCCTCTTTACCACAAAGTCCATGCTTAGCTGCTCATATTCCAGCTGCTGATTTGACATGTGTTTGATGCAAAACTGAGCAAAGAGCGATGATGGGTTGTGTCTCCCTAGCTGTGTGAGAAAATGCGGGAAAGGCTCATTTTCTGCATGAGGCTACATTCAGTGACACAGGAACTATGTAGGTTTAATAGAGTGGCATGTTCTGATTTCCCTGGTGGCTGTGTGCCATGTTAGCCATAGGAATGAAACTTTCGTCTCAACTACACTTAAGAATTGCTCCCTCTAGTGCATAAAATTAGCCAGTGTTGTTATTGCCCCACTTTTTCTATAGTATCCTTACATCTAAATCCTGAACTGAGAAGACAGCAATGACCCAGAATGGTTGTTTAAAAGAGTTTTATTCCCAGTGGACTTTTTGAAGGAACACTGACTAGAACCAGGAGGGAAGGGTGAACCCAAGCTCTAGAAACCATCAAGAACACTCAAGGAGGTTGCTAGTATACTTTTCTATAAATGTTCAAGTCAGTTACTACTTCGGTTATGATTCTATCTTGAAGCTAAGGGCTGCAAAAACCACTCAAGCCTCATTCTTGTGGTTTTTAGCATCACAAGAGCTCCTTGAAAGGAATTATTGTCCATAAGTTACAGATGACTATTATTTACTCAAGATATAGTACAGCATTTCTATCAAACTGTTCATGTTTCACTTCACAAATCAAGTAGTCAATGAAAAAAACTCTTTACCCTTAATCTTTTTTACTTCTAAGTGGCAATTTAAAGAATCATTGTTTAAAAAATACTATTTATTTTATTTATATTATCAAGGAAGACATGTTACAAATCCCAGGAAGCCAACTTTTGACTATTTTCTAAAATCATACATTAAGAAAAAAATGGATCTATAAATTATAATCCAAAATTAGTCAATAAATTCCATGCATTCTGTTTAAATACACTGAGTATATACACTGAGATATATATTAGATGCCATATGAAATGTAAAATAAATCTTAGTAAAGATGCATTCTAAATGTATGATATATCTTGAATGATAGGCCAATGAAAAGTAATATTACAGGTTCAAGATGGTTTACCAGAAAAATAATATGAAATATATTTTAGTGTTTAAATTAAACTGGAGGAAAAATACATTTTTCTTGAACTAAAGTATGTGAAAACTGTTGGTTTTTTTATTAAATAAATTTTAATGACGAGAAATTAAAATCATTACAGTTGAATTGATTTAATGCAAAATGTAAATGGATAACTAGAGCGCAAACATTTTATAATGTTACATTAGTTGACATTTTAAAATATTAGTATGGCTAATGCTTCCACACCATTAAACTTTCAAAAACTTAACATCTCTTAATGCACACATAATTACCTTTCTCTACTATAATGTATGAGGGATGAATCTATAAGTTTTCAGAATCTTTATTTCAAGATGCTCTGAAATGATCAGGTACCATTAGTATATAGGTATTCGTCACTTAATGTCCATGATGCAGTTCTGAGAAACAGGACATTATGTGATTTGAATGTTGGGAGAGCATCATATTATATACAGGCATTCCCCTTACAATCCGTAGTTAAACCCCTGTAAAGCCTATTATATCAAAAGTTTATGGGAGCCCGCCAGACAAAGCCTGAGAGCTGTATGCACTGGATACAGGCCTTTGCGCAAGTCTGGGTGCAGGGTGTGGAGGGGGGGGGGCTCGAGAGCCCCAGGCCGGTCTGCATCCTGCCAACGCCCTGCAGGAGCGAAGGAACCGCTGCTGGCCCTGCCCTGCGCGTGGAGTGAAAAGCTCAGTGGCTGCTGGGTAGGTGAATAAAGCCAGGAGGAAGGAAAGGAGGAGACAACGGAGGAGGAGGCGCTGTGGGGATTGGGATGCACACTGGCGACCCGCTGCTTATACACTCTGGGAGTTTGGGGTCTTTAAAACCATTAGGAGCAAATAATAAACAAAAGGAGAGCTGTTTTCCATTAAAAAAAAAAAAAAACTTACGGGACCACAGAAGTATACGCAGTCAGATGTAGCCCGAACAGACGACATGCTGCGCATGACCGTACTGTACCAGACTTAGTAAATGTCATGTCTTAGTTCCTTTTAACTTAGTTCCATAAAACTCAGGCATTTTCTGTAAGTCTGGAAAATACAATAAAGTTGACCTTCTGCCTAGAGAGGAAATCTCTGAGGTGATGGTTGGAGTTATCCATAGGTCAAGACTTTATTGCAGCTGTTAAACTAACTGCATGTGGGCTAACGCCAGAATCCCTCAGTTTTTTTTTTTTTTCAATTGACAGTCCCTGGAGATCATTAACTGCAGATGACAGAGGGGACGGGAGAAGAAAAAGTACCATAAATATGAAGAAATGTATTGAGGAGAATTCTGGAAACCACAAATGCAAAAGGATATCTGCTGTCTTAGTTATGGAACGAGCTGATGACATCATTAAATCAAATATGCTCATTACTTAACTTCAGAGGTTATAAGATCCAGATAATTTGAGTATGATTGCTGTTGTTGTTGTGTGACGTGGAGTCAATTCTGACTCATAGCGACCCTATAGAACAGAACTGCCCTATAAGGCTTCCTAGGCTGTAATCTTTAGGCCAGCAGATCACCAGGTCTTTTCTCCCAAGGAGTCCCTGGTGGTTTCAAACTGCTAACCTTTCAGTTAGCAGCAGAGTGCTTAACCATTGTGCCACCAGGGCTCTAGAGCATGGTTAATCCCAAAAACCCACTGGCATCTAGTCAAGTCCTACTCATAGCGACCCTATAGGACAGAGCAGAACTGCCTCATAGAGTTTCCAAGGTTGTAAATCTTTACAGAAGCAGACTGCCACATCTTTCTCCCACAGAGTGGCTAGTAGGTTCAAGCTGCCAACCTTTCCTTTAGCAGTCCAGTGCTTTAACCACTGTGCCACCAGGAATCCCTTAAGTATGGTTAGTACCTTCAATTTTCAGATTGAATCGAATTCAGAACAGTTCAACACTTCAGTGGTCATCATCATTTTAGAGGCCAAACTAATTTTATTGACAATGTTTTCACTTAGAAATTGCCCAAACAACTCTGTCACATACACCAATAATAGTTAATATTTGTATCATGCATTATAGTCTATATAATAATTTGACTTGTGCTCATTTGAGCTTTAAAAGAATTCTGTGAGGTGTTTATTATTATACCCACACTCTTGATGAGCCCAGAGAAGGTAAGGGATCTACCTGAGGTGCTATCAATAACTCTGTGTTTACAGGCAGGTTCAAATCCATGTATTCTACATGACACCAAGAACTTTTTCAGTAACACAGAAATTTGATCTCAACTTCTAGCATAAGACTCAAGATGCTCCAAAATTTTTGAATGAAAAGATTTTTAAGGAATTTACTGAATCTTTATATTTCCTTACCAGGAAAATGGGGATAACGTTAACAACTACATAGGATTAGAGTTAAAACTATGTTTACCAAATGCTTTAGAAATTATCACAGTGCTTGGCATGGGAAATAATCCAGATAATTATAAGTTTCTATGCCGTTGCCTGTTGCTGTCATTGGCTGTTGTCGAGTTGGCCTCCAACTCGTGGCAACTCCATGCACAACAGGATATGACCATTATGATTCATAGGGTTTTCACTGGCTGATGACTTTAATAAAAAAGGGAGAAACTCTGTGTTCTTAAAAGTAATAAATGTATACAGGTGAAAAACCATTTGTATTCATCTTTTGTTAATATCACATTAAAACTGCTCAATGTAATATTTTAATGGTACATATGACATTTTAAAATTAACAAATTTTTATTCATTCTATTGTACTCTGCCTTACACTTGTGAAGTGTTTTTCTACCAAATTTTTTTTAGAAAAACTATTTAACTTTCTCACAATTATAAAATAGGCACTGCACCATTTAAAGGCTGGGATACTAAAGTCCAGAAAAAGTTAAGGAGCTTACTTAAAACACATTAATGAGTTAGTGGAGGGGAGATTACTATTACACATGGACAATTATGAAAAAATAAAGTTTAAGTGCTTAATATGATGAAAAATTAAATTAAATCTTAAACTATAAATAAGTATACCTACATAGGTTGATTTATGCCTTTCGGCACATGGGATAAATTTCACCTAAATGCTAATCCTTTAAAACTCAGAGAAGACTTACTTTTAAACTTATTTCTTTGTGCTTTCAACATCACAAATTATCTAAGATATCAAATAATATAAAATCATATTTAAAAAATCCTGTGACATTTTAATGTAGCCTTTCATATGATTATATCTACATTTCATGAGTTGTACGAGTTGTACAGTACTCAAGATAATGTCTAATACATAGTAATTTCTCAGCTCATTTTTATTTAAGAAATGAATTTATGGATGGATGGATAGATGAATGGATAGGTGGGTGGGTGGGTGCATGCATGGAAAGGAAGGAGGGAGGGAGAGAGGGAAGAAGGAAAGAGCAGGGAGGGGATGGTACAGACAAAGTAAAAGAACCAGAAGGGAAAGGAAAGAAGGAAGGAAGGGCATTTTAATCATGAAGACTGACAAGTGGAAAATTTTCATATCATCCAAGATAATTTATCATATGAAAATCAACCTGTACAAAGAAGTTGACTTCCAGAAACAACGTAAGTATATATGCTACAAGATTTCATTTTGTTAATTATCTTTTGCATACATAAGCTATCAAAAATGAACATATATTTCCTTTACTTAGGATTGTTATTATTATTATACTTTCTTTACACAAAACTATCAATTTTTCCAAAATAGAAAATTACTTGGTTACTCAAGAGTGATCAAGTCCACAAAGAAAACATGCTCCTTAATGGAACACTGAATAATAATAGACTGCAGAATAATAAATTGTTTATTCAATTACTGAAATAACTTACCAGGATATCTTTTCCAGCCCACTTGCATTCATCTCTTCTCGTGTAAGAAACAGGCCACACAATCTAAGGGCAGAGAAGAAATACTATTTTACATCAATTTTCTAACAGATCCAACATCACATAATCTTTTAGAACATGTTGTGGTGACTGAGATAAAGAAAGCTCCATCAGCATTAGGTGGCAGGGACCTTGCAGTTTAGACTATGCAGTTAATTAGTGTGGACTTAAGTCATTCACTCTTCTTCTATCCATTAGACTTCGTATATATGGATGATGAGCAAAACAGAAATAGACTAGGAAATAGATCCAAGCAACGTGAGGTGGAAAGAACTGCTACCTCAGTTGGAAGAGAGAGGTCATTTTGAGGAGAGGTGACAATCTAGTGAAAAGAGGTTGAAACCTGCAGAGAAAGCAGCTCATGTTCTTCTAAACTAGCTGGTCTTTCTCTTTCATGAAATAGTGATTTTGAAATTCTCAGATTTGGGGTGCCCTGGATCCATCTCTCCAACCCAGATATCAGTATAACATGCTAAAATGAGCAATGACAGTGACAGAAAACTTATCCTAGAAAGGAATCATTTCTTTGGACAAGGAAAACAGTTAAGAGTAGCATTACATACTTAGGGGAGATAAAAGTAGAAACAAATTGGTAGCTGTAAAACTTAGACTAATTGAAAAATAAGTGATTGCATTTTAAGCCCCAATATCTGGTCTTCAGCCTTCCAAGCCAAAAATCAAACTAGTTGTCATCCAGTCAATTCTGACTCATGATGACCCCAAGTGTTTCAGAGTAGAACTGCACTCCATACTCTTTTCAATAACTGTGATATTTCAGAAGTAGATTGCCAGGCCTTTCTTCTGTTCATCATTCTAAAGGATCCTATATTGTGTGAATACAGTGACAGGAAAACAAGTGGTAGATGAGCCAAGGCCGTACTGGTGGTTGAAGACTTCTGAATGCAGTCTCCTTAATAACACAAATACTCTCATCTAAATTTTAATATACAAATTTCCAGATCTCCTGAACAATTTCAATCATGCCTATATGTACTGGGGCAGAGCAATTTATTATTTTTCTAATCCATCTTTCTCTTCTAGTAACATTAGGTAATCTCCAAAAAAAAAAAGTCATATGTAAAAGAAAAATCCAGAGATGGTGGCAGTTAATCATTTGTATCTGCTGAAAAGCTTTTAGTCTCAAAAAGACTGATTACTGTTCATCTTGGAAGCTTTAGATAATTCAATATATATTGTCATAAACTTGGGAAAAGTCAATGATATTCAATTTAGGGAATTAAAAGCAAAATAAAACATATTTATAAACAAGAATTTGTGATATACTGAAACAACCTTTAGTCAGATTTCAGGTTCATGTCACAACTATAAAAAAATTCTAAAAATTCTTGGAAATGTATTCATTTTTATCATTTGTGCATTTTTTCATTTTTGTGTTTTTCTTTTCATGTGTGTCTGTGTGTTTAAATTAAAACTGTGCTTATTAATGAAATGAGCCAGAAACTCTATAAAGAATAAGGATAAAAATAGTAGACTGTTATGTCTGAATGATCACACTTGTAAAAACTTGACGCTGAAAACTGATCTTCAGCAACCTTTTGGTTTAAAGTGTCATATAATAGTAAGTATTTTAGGATTGTGAGTTAGATGATCTCTGTCACGACTCCTCAACTCTCCTATTGTAACACAAAAACAGACATACACAATATGTAAATAAATGAGAATGACTGTGTTCTAATAAAACTTTTTACAAACACAGGTGCAGGCTAGCCCTGCAGGTCACAGCTTGATGACCCTTCCATTTTCTGGCAATAGAGAGATGTATATATTTATACATATAGATACATTTTATATGAAATAAAGTATTGTGTATTTCTATAATAGTTCAGATATGTTCTTTTATGCAGAAAAAATTATATAACTATGGAAGGATAAGCTGAAGTTAGGGGGCAGTGAGTTTATGTTAATGCGGGACGAACATCTCAGAAAACCAAAGTGAGAATGGTTACACAACTTGAGGAATATAATCAGTGTCACTGAATTATACATGTGGAAATTGCTGAATTGGTGTATGTTCTGCTGTGTATATTCTCAACAACAACCACACAAATAAAATAGTTTATTTAAAAAATACTATGGTTTCTTCCATAATAATTTTAATGGTTTACTGTATCTAATAACGTTAATATAGTCATTATTTTTATTTGTATTTGAAAAGATAAAATGTTAATTTAAAACCATTTTCTGTGAATTCTATATAGCTTGATGTTTCAAGAGAATTATAGTGCATACATTAGAATAAAGATACCTTTTGAAAATCCTTGATATTAACCAGGTTGAATGAAAATATGTGATCCTTTGCTCCAACATACAGCCTACTCCGTTCCTCATCCAAAAGGAAGGTATGATAACTGGAGCTATTGGCCAAGCCATTGAAAGTGATCACATTGTTGGATTCCAACATTTCTGCAAGGTAACAAAGCAAGACATAGGTGTTAATGTGAGGTCCTACATGAGCATAGACTGTTGCTACATGGTAATCTGACTATTGTCTGCTGTAGTTATCAATCAGTGGTTATTTTTCATGGTACTGCAAAATACACAAGAACCATATATTTGACGTTTCATTGAAACAGGAGTTATACTCATCAGTTTGCTCATTTTATACTCATGACTGTAGACTCCTAAAGAAGAAAGGAATAAAAATATTGTGCCCATACAAACTGATCTGGTGGAACCTATTTATATGTAGTGATGTATTAGAATGGTCAAGAAAGAATATAAAATGTTTTTAATTTTACAAAGATTTTTAAGTGATTTCATCCAGTCCAAACCATTACCTGGAAGGTTAATTTCAAGACTCAATTATTTTCTCCTTTGAATTTTTTGTTGATACCATGTGTTTTCACTAATAGAAGGCATGCTGATTAAAGGACCGATTCAGATTTTTGTTATGATTTATGGACTTAGATGCTAATATCTGGGGTCCCATATGTCCCAGCAGATTCTGGATGTCATGATATAAGTCAGTGATAAAATCTTTTTTTTCTTGAAAAACTGAAAAATATGAAGTAAAACATGAAGGAATCTGGCAATGACTGCACATACATTTTATTCCTGTCTCCTTCTACTTAGCCTTTATTACTATTATTATTTTCATAAAACTTTTCAATCCATGGTGCAATGTAAAAGCAGTACTTACAGTCCAAATACATAAAGTCAAGGAGTTTTTTATCAGGAAAATTACCGCTACTGTGCATTCTTCATTACTGCAAAACAGTACTCATAAGCCAAATAAATAAAACTAAAGGAATATGAATCTCAGTAGAATTATCACTACTATATATTCTTCATTATAACAAAAGCAGTACTAACAGCTAAACAGCAGAAACAGCTACCTTGGAATACTACAGAACTGCTCACAGCAGTGCTTTCTACCTGCTACATGTGGAAGCAATGATTGGGCCCTAAGATTTAATGCAGGGTGAGAATAACTTATAGGAGTTTCAGTCTCTTGAAAAGTACCACTGCAATTCCTTATTCCTTATTGCAAAGGCCATATTTACTGTTCACAAGCTAGAAAAGCAGGGAGCCAGTAACACCTGGAAACAATAAATGGCATCAAGGAGAAAATGGCCACTATGACTGAATAAAGACTGAAAATAGCTTATTCTCGGGATAAGTACATTCTCATGAGAACACAGTAACTGGGAAACATAGTGAGGAGGTTTATCTCACAGACATAAAGGCAAACCTGTCAAAAGTTTAGAAAATTCACACATCCAGGAGGCATCACCTAAGACAATGTTCAATCTACACAAAATGAGGCTCCAACTCAGTTTCACACATTTCAAAACACTCCCACCTTGAGACTAAAAGATTTAAAATTGGGCTGCTTCCTTCCCTAAGAACTCCAGAGGCACAAAAAACCGTTGGGTTATCATATGCCTCACGAGTCCTGAAAGGGTTAAGCCTAGGGACATTCAGAGCAAAGAGAACATAGGGGAAATACCCAGTTTAACCTCCTAGATGGTCTGACGACTCATTAAGGAATTTTAGTATGTCTTTATTACCATTAAATCATTAACTCCACCATTTAAACTCTTTAAAGTATTTTGGAACTAATATATACATAGAAGCTAAGTTGAGACTTTTATGAAAATAAGAATTAAATTTAAATTAATTTTACCATCTGACCTTAATTTTTTAGTGTGTTTTCACCTCCCCAATTTGTTTTTGTCATGAATAGGCAAATACTGAACTTTTAGATCTATATTTTAAGTTAGAGAAATATTTTCAGATTAAAAATAACATTGAACATAATATTATGGTTGTATTAAAAGATAGTTGTTGATAATCACCAAATTGATTTTCTTAAATATCTACTTATATAGTTTCAATCAATCAATCTGTGTGTGTGTGTGTGTGTGTGTGTGTGTGTGTGTGTGTGTACTTCTTTCCCTGGGATAAAAATAATGCAGATTCTCCAAAACTATGAGTCCTGAATCACTGCCTCAAGTATTTCCAGTGCACACTTAACACCCATTGCCGTTGTGTCGATTCCAACTCATAGCGAGCCTGTAGGACAAAGTAGAACCGCTCCAAAGGGTTTCTAAGGCTGTAAATCTTTACAGAAGCAGACTGCCACTTCTTTCTCTCGCTGAGCAGCTGGTGAGTTTGAACTGCCGAACTTTTGGTTAGCAGCCGAGTGCTTAACCACTGCGCTAACAGGGCTCCTGCGTACTTAACAGAAACCCTTTTAAAACTTCAGTCGCTCAGGGCTGTGTGAGTACAGAAGGATCTGCCACCAGAGGCAGGGGCTATATCACTTAATATATTCATATGCTGAGTGAATGGCCATTTCAGGAGATCTGTTTATCAAACAGACTAGATGCTCCTCACCTTTCCCTCCAATTCTAAAATCTATAATTCTACCCTAGTACCAGTGAGGCCAAACTATAGGGAGCCAGGGGAACTCAAGTCAACTTGGCCTAAAGCAAAACAAGCACATAGCAACGGAAGGGTCGTTTAAGATGCTACAAAGGTGAACTTTAATTGGAAACACATAAGAAACTACATAAAGGAGCTCTAAGCATCAAATGGTAGAAGCTATAGGAAGACAACTACTGTGGCTACAGATCTTGAAGTCATCCAGTTATAGGTAAGAACACCAGCGTCAGCATAGTACTTATTTGCTAGATATGCAAGCTAGGACAAGTTCCTTAAGCTCTTTGGGCCTCAGTTTTCTGGATGATGGGTTAGTGATATATCTTTCAAGAGCAATTATGAAAGTGAAATTAGATCATGCATGTAAAGAGCCTAGCACAGTTGTTTGCATAATAAGCACTCAAAGATTAACTACTTGCATAAGTTTTTACAGTTGCCTTTGAGTGGACTAAGACTTATGGTGCCCCTATGTATGTCGGAGTAGAACTGTGACCCATAGAGTTTTCAATGACTGATTTTCGGAATTAGATCTCCAGGAATTTCTTCCGAGGCATCTCTGGGTGGACTGAAACCTCCCACTTTTCGGTTAGCAGTTGAGTGCATTAACTGTTTGTACGACCCAGGGACCCATATGCATAAGGAGAATTAAAGTATAGGGCTGCTATGAGTCGGAATTGACTTGATGGCAACAGGTTATAGTATGCTTATTCTTCTAGACTAGGAGTAGGTAATTAGGGTTCAGATGAATCAGACTGAAAAAAGAAAACTTTTCTACTTATCTTAATAATTTGCCAATTTATCAACATCAGTAATTTTTTAATTTTTATTTATTTTTTTTATTGTACTTCAGGGGAAGGTTTACAGAATAG